TCAACACTTATCTTTAATTAGTATTACGTGAATCAAGGAACGAAGCAAGGACCTTATCATTAGCCAGAGTTATTAATCGCCACGCCACAGTGTCGTGATATCGTAAAGGTCGAAACAATTGTCTTTCGACGCAACAAGTCGCGTCCGATAAGTCGCGACGAGAGGTGGAGTTTGCGAATCGAGCGGCAACCTATCCGCGTCGAATCTGCACGATATCCGTACACGTACTCCTCGATATCGTTTTCGGGCTGCGTAATTCGTATCCCCATCAATCATCGCTCATCGACATTTTTGATTCGCCCACCTTCGATATTTTACCGGAATTGATCGATACTTGGAATGAGTCTTCGTGACTAATATTTTCTACGCCGTATAATTTAATAGTATGATAGAAGTAATTTCTAAAGTATCACGTAATATATTAGAAATGAGAGCTGGGATTTTTTTGGAGAAAAAATTTTCAGGAAGGTAAATTTACTCGCTCATTAGCCGCGATGTAGAACAAGCATCGATGTACTTCAACAAGAGTTAAGAGCGTACAATTATTTGAAAAGGTAGTAAGATTGCGCATGTAAATCTTGTGTAAATCGCTGTGAAAATGGCTCGAGCGGAAGCCGAGGATCAGTACAACACCTTTAAAAGTAAAATTCTTGCATTAACAAGCGAGTTAACGTGAACGGTTCGTGGAGCCATACCGAGCGTTGAACACCATGAATACGAACAAAAAGATTCGATCAAGCAATATCTTCAGGCAAGCATTTAGCCCGATTGCACTCGTAAAAATTCCATAGCTCATCGCGACGACGCTCGTCGTCGCAATAATACGTAGGTACTACGTATATACCTTCGGACCCCGTAAACGGTGCCACTCGAGCGTCGCGCAAACAAAAAAAATAGAAGAGAAGAGTCGCAGTCACCCCTTGTTTCCACTCCGTCGACCCTCCAATCTCGGAAGAGGCAAAAAATAGAAACACAGAGAGGAGAAATGAGAACGACCGAGCTCGCCGGCCGTGCAGGCACGACGCGACGCGACGCCACAGTTTCATACGGGACCAACGATACTTTTCGCGTTCGAGAATAAAATGAGCTGTCGAAGGAAACGGTTCGATTATCTTTCTTCTATTGTTTTTCTAATGCTGATGTTCGTATTGATCGCTACGAATTTATCAGCCAATGCCACTTACAGAATTATTCTGTAGTGTTTGGACGTAGTGTCATGTGATCGATACGAGCGGTAAAATAGTCTTAACACCTCTCATTTATAAAACAATAGATTTTCAAAGATTCGATCGGATGCGTACATTTTACTCTTGGTGAATCGATATTGAATGATTTAGATATCATCGAACAAGTAACACTGGACCTGGTTCGATATTCATATGCAAACTACAAAATGGTGCGAGCTAAACCGAACTTGTAAACACGGTTATCAATTCAGTTAATTCGAGCAAATTTACACTTGCAAATTGCACGAGAGTATAAACCCACCTGTAATTAATCGCGTGTGCATTGAACAAATTTTTAAAATCGATACTCCGTGAAAGGAGTTCTTGCGCGTACCAGAGTCTAATTTAGTCTGAAATTATAAATTGTTTTAATTTTGTACAGTAAGTCTGTAAAATAGTCTTATCGGCGAGACTTCGAGCAGCGACAAAACGTGCTCCACCTTTTTTCCTTCCTTTTTCCCTGAGAAAGTTTCCATGGCCGATTTCCTCTGACCCTTCTTTCCGTGATGGGATGAATTGCGCTGTTAGCACTCGACTTTTAAACCCGGTAAGCGGATCAGCCTGACTATAGCTACTTTTAAATGTCGCTTCTAACTCGACGATCTCGGCAACCACGACTACAAGCACGCCCGGTGACTGCGAGCGTCGCGCTGCGCCGCGACGCCTCACGGATTAACTCATTCGAGGGTTACGAGGCCACGATTATGTGCCACCTGCCACGATTGCGGACGCTCGAGCATTAGTCTGTAATTATACGTGGCTTCGCGTGAAACAGGTAGCATTATGTCGTCGCAAATGGGAGACGGAATATGTAGTTTCACAGTCGGGCTAATTGGGAGCCGTTATCGCTGCTTAAGACGACCGCCTAACCTGACGCCGCCGACCGTAGTTAAATTATTTTTACGAGCCGCGCGCAACTGTCCGGATTTTCTCTTTTTTTTTCGAATCCTCTTTTTCGCGCGCGAGAAAATTCGCGAGGTTTAATTACTGCATACAATTTCGGGTTAAAAATGCGAGCCGCGACGGTGGAACGCGAAAAGTTACGGACGAAGTTTACCTAGATTACTCTCGTGCATCATCGTCCACGAGTTTATGGCCGCGCACGATCATGTAGTTGCGGCTTGAAATGGTAAAAATTGTTGGACGTAAAAAAGTTTTCACAAGATAACGAGGAAAGATTGCGTCTGTCCTGATTCGACAAAAATGATGCCCCGAATCGCCAGTTAACTTCGGTTTTTACAATGCAAATCGCTTTTTCCCGAGAAATAATTACTGCGATATTTATCAGAAACTTCGTGCCGCTGGATTTACGAAGGGGTTGTTAAAAATCAGACTAGCAATAATTTTCAGTCGAATGAAGTATTATTCGTTAATCTTTCGTCACGACTGTTCGTTACTTTTTAAACATGATAGAATCTGAACGGAGAAAGAATTCTACCTCGGGTTAAACCTTGAACTAACATTGCAAAGCACTTATCCTTGATAAGTATCGATGACCAATTTTTGAACATAGCACGTGCCCGATGATTCAATAATGTACATGGACGAGATTGCGAGGATAAGGGTGGAGGGGATTGCGCTCAATTAAAAAATCTTATTCGCCATTTTCCACGTATCTGATAATGATCAAAGTTCCACCAGTAATCTCCGACAGAGAACCCTGAGGAATTTTCCACGCGAGCGTACAATTTTTCGAGCGAGATAACGCGTCGATAATTCGACATCCTGTAGAAAATTGGACGCAAGTCGAATCCGTTTCGACGAAAGCGTGGAAAAGAACGGCATCGTCCCGTAGTCGGCTGGTCCACACACAAGACGAGCGAGGAGATTTAATAATGTAGAGTAGCGGGCTAGACGTTGGGTACACATCGGGATCGGTACACACCGCTTTCGGGCGTCTTCAATATCTGAGCAGCTCAAGAACCGCATTGTCTAGGGCGACGGTCCAACCCCCTGCTTTATGATCCCCCTCCTCTGTCTCTGTCACTCTTTCACCCTCTCTTTCTGTCGTCAATGACGGGCATTATGCGACGGATAATGGTCCAACCGACCGCCATTCACTTCTCTGGTACACGTGCAAAGAAACCGTACTTTACAAACACCCCCTTCTAGATTGAATTATACCTCCCTCGGACCAGCTACCACCACCCTGACTTTCGGATCAAAAGAAAAGATGGAGATGAATGACGAGAAAGGAATGTGATTGTTCCGCTTGTGAATTCTTTTATCGATTATTGTTTGCGACGAAATCATCGCACGTGTGATTCCGAGAATGTTTCGTTATTACGTTATTCGTATATCGGAATTAACTTTGGGAGAACCTGCACAAGGGTGCTTCGTGCAACATGGCGAGTGAGGGGGATAATTACAATGTAGACATTACGTTAGATGTTACATTAAATAATTATAGTGGAATTTTTAAAGTAAAATATAGTTTTAAATAGAATACGCGGGATGTTAGCGTAATATCAAGATCATTATTGGTTCCACGTAGTTCGATCCGAGTCAAAAGAGAACGATGTTCGATTGAAATGTAAATACCGATGGGAAAGCTTCCTTAAGGAAAGAAAGCAGAAGCGAAGCAAAAGATCTTGAACTTTTTTAATTTCTCCCCGTCCCCGAGTTTGAGCACGTTTTCACGAAGTTTTACGCTAGATGGACAGCTAATTTCTGCGCGTTGAACAGCAAGAAAAAAGGGCGTTCCAAAGGACGAAAGGAAGGAGGATCGAAAGAAGAGAGGAGGAAGGAAGGAAGGAAGGAAGGGACGCGTACAGGAACGAGGAAGCAAACGAACGCGTTCTCGTCGTCGTCGGCGACGTTTGGGCATCCAGGAGACGGTCTCTCAGTCGAGAGGGCGTCGACGAGAGGAGTCCTATTCCAATTCCAGCGAGTTAATTGGAATTGTTTGCCGCAGACACCGCGAGCCGCTTGCCTTAGCACAGTTCCGAACCCTATTTCTCCTTCAGCAGCTTCCCTTGTCGTCGGCCGGCTTCCTCTCTTCAACAGGACCCGACGACGCTCCACGCCACGGGCATTATGCGACGGATAATGGTCCAACCGACCGCCATTCACTTCTCTGGTACACGTGCAAAGAAACCGTACTTTACAAACACCCCCTTCTAGATTGAATTATACCTCCCTCGGACCAGCTACCACCACCCTGACTTTCGGATCAAAAGAAAAGATGGAGATGAATGACGAGAAAGGAATGTGATTGTTCCGCTTGTGAATTCTTTTATCGATTATTGTTTGCGACGAAATCATCGCACGTGTGATTCCGAGAATGTTTCGTTATTACGTTATTCGTATATCGGAATTAACTTTGGGAGAACCTGCACAAGGGTGCTTCGTGCAACATGGCGAGTGAGGGGGATAATTACAATGTAGACATTACGTTAGATGTTACATTAAATAATTATAGTGGAATTTTTAAAGTAAAATATAGTTTTAAATAGAATACGCGGGATGTTAGCGTAATATCAAGATCATTATTGGTTCCACGTAGTTCGATCCGAGTCAAAAGAGAACGATGTTCGATTGAAATGTAAATACCGATGGGAAAGCTTCCTTAAGGAAAGAAAGCAGAAGCGAAGCAAAAGATCTTGAACTTTTTTAATTTCTCCCCGTCCCCGAGTTTGAGCACGTTTTCACGAAGTTTTACGCTAGATGGACAGCTAATTTCTGCGCGTTGAACAGCAAGAAAAAAGGGCGTTCCAAAGGACGAAAGGAAGGAGGATCGAAAGAAGAGAGGAGGAAGGAAGGAAGGAAGGAAGGGACGCGTACAGGAACGAGGAAGCAAACGAACGCGTTCTCGTCGTCGTCGGCGACGTTTGGGCATCCAGGAGACGGTCTCTCAGTCGAGAGGGCGTCGACGAGAGGAGTCCTATTCCAATTCCAGCGAGTTAATTGGAATTGTTTGCCGCAGACACCGCGAGCCGCTTGCCTTAGCACAGTTCCGAACCCTATTTCTCCTTCAGCAGCTTCCCTTGTCGTCGGCCGGCTTCCTCTCTTCAACAGGACCCGACGACGCTCCACGCCACCAAACTCACACCGTCGCATCCCGACGCTCCGCGTCGCGTTCGTACGGCTCGTGACGTCGTCTTCAACGGAATTAATTCCTTCCGCGACGGCCTGTCTTAAATTTCCTTCAGAAATAAGCAGGGAAGCCTTGGATCGAGAGCTCGTCCCATGAATCTTGATCGGATGCAAGCAGTCGTTTCATACTCCATAAAAATTCTTCGTTTACGAATTTAAATACTGCTTTGGTTATATAAAAATCCCCAGATAGTACAATGTATACAAAATTCAAAGAGATTAGGGTTATATAGGACTTAAAAAATATATGAATATTGCAACAAATTCATCTTTCGCGTAATAAAACCCAACTGCATTCGAAGCCGGCCGAATGAATTTATGGTAAACAAGTATTGAGTATAAAGTTGCAGTGGAATCCGCAATTTATGCAATTCGGTTGCAATAAAAAGCTTACAATGGAAGTTTTCTTCGCGGTAAAAGAAAGTCTTGTTAAAAAGTAACGAGTCAGCCATCATTCGTTGATAAACATTTCCTTTGTATAGTTACGGTTTTTCACGTCTTTCTTAATGAAGCTTCCGAAGCAGGTTACCTTATTCCATCGAAACTTTTCTTTCCAAGATATTTCTCTTTGATGCAATATAATAAGCCCGTGTATTATGCAAAGCTATATAACGAGAAACATAAATTCGCTTCAGCGGGGCAAACTTGGTTGTCTAGAGAAGCATGAAAAGAGAAATTAACGTACACACGGTGCGTTACGTTTTGCGGAAAGCTTCGAGTTACGATACAGCCGGTGAATTTCCACGGATGCCTCGTTAAATCCGTATTCTACGTAATTTTTAACGCGGACACGCAGTAACAATTATCTCTTCGGTGAATTAATTTTATATCGATGAGCACTTAAATGTTATCGGCGTTACATTACTGATTTTTTATCGACCGTGTATATAAGAGGTAACGGAACGCGATCGAACAGTAACAGTAGCGCACGATCACTGAACCCGAAGAATCCAAGGAGGTCTAAAATAACAAGGTAAAACATTGCAAATAATTGAATACGCTCCCCTATTGAAACGTTCCGAATGAAAGTTTCGTACGCGGTCGAAGCCCGCTTCGCGTTTCAATGAACTGACGTTAGAATAATTGAATCGCTTTGTTAACGGGTTGCATTAGACGCGTGTCGAGCACGCAACGCTTTTGTTACGCTCGCAAAGTGCGTAAATGCACGTTTGATTTTGCTGGCGGCTCGATACAACGCGACATTCAATTTACGGGATAATACAGCACCGTTCTCGCCAACTGAATAATTCGATCTCGAAAGTATGTTCGATCGAACGCACACCGACACGCGGCTTTTCCAATCTCGATCGAACGTTTAATCCTTTGCTGATGTCCATTTGATCGTGTCATATTTTACTCGATTATAACCACTTTTCTTAAACACTTTGTCTACTGCTACCTGTTATTAATATAATAATTAATATTATTTATATTCGTGTTTGGTTCTAACGAAGTATTAGACCTTGTTACGTATTGGTATTTAGGGGTATTTATATTGGTATTTATCTAACGTATAAGAATTCAACGGGTAAAGGTCCAACACATAGTAATTTACTGTGTTGAAATTTTACATATAGGGATCAGGGTCCTAACACCTAGAAATTTAATGTATAGAGATCCCTCTGATAAAAATCTATCGCGTAGAAATTGAACGCGTGGAGATTTAACGCGCAGGGATTCAACGCGTAGGGATTTACCGCGCAGGGATTTAACGCGTGGGGATTTACCGCGTTAAAATCTATCGCGTAGAAATTGAACGCATGGAGATTTAACGCGCAGGGATTCAATGCGTAGGGATTTACCGCGCAGGGATTCAACGCGTGGGGATTTACTGCGTCAAAATCTATCGCGTGGCAACAACTTCGATTAATTTCTCTCACTAACAGTTCAATTCTCTTCCAGATGAAATTCACTCTCGCAATTTTTGCCGTTCTGGCCATTGCCGGCCCTCTGAGCGCTTACAAGCTACCAAGCACCGGCTCAGGTCAGTTGGCTAAAGACTTGCAAGACGTAGTGGACATGATACAATTCGACAAAGTATTCGACATCACGAAAGCGTACTTAGCTCAAGATAAGGAGGTGCAATTGATGGCAGCCCTCGTGGACTCTCAAGACTCGAAAAAATTAATACAATATGTTGAAAATGAGCCTGTTTTTAAGAAACTGGTGGCCTTCATGCAAGAAAACGGTCTGGACATCTATTATTTGATTAACAAGTACAACGAATTTATACAGATACCGCAGTTCAAACCTTCAGTAGCTCTCCAACGCGAAATCACAGGTGGAGTTGTCGGTTATGTGGAAGATATTGCTGCAATAACTCCGATGGACAAAATGATGCACGTAATAGAAGACAGGTTAAAAACTTCCAAACCGCTCTCCGAATTAGTTAAACTTGCCTCGACCCCTGAAGTTGTAAGTTTCGTCGAATCCCTCAGATCAAATGAATTCTTTTTGAACTTAGAAAAGCAAGCGGACCAAAATGGTCTCGGTAGTCTTAACGTCGATCGTTATTATACTTATTTTGCGATGGTTATTCCCGCAGCTAGGTCCACTTTTTAATTAAGTAGAATAGAAGTACTGATGCTATGTCATGCTTGTATGAATATGTTATACAAAATTGTTAATAAATAATTACGTTGTTGCATTGAAATCGTTTGTTGACATTAACCTCCCTCCTTTATTTCTTGGAATGAATAATCTTTACGAAAATTAATTTTTCTACAGTTACAATAAAAATTATGTATCAATTTTTTAAATTTAATTCTTCTAAAGACGAAGTCATAAACGATCCTCTTTCTGCTTCCATATGTACTTACTGCAACCAAAGTTTTCGTTTTACCTTGCATTGTGTGCGACATATCTCGATATCATTTGACAACAATCTCTGCACTTGAAACTGTTATTTACTTTTTTCCTAATTAAATAAATACTGCTACTTCATACAAACGTAGATATGAAATGATTAACCCAGTAAGAATGTGTTATGTTAAAAAAATTGATACCTTGTCGTTTACGCTATTCTACTTACAATACAAAAATGAAGTACAATCGAAGTAATTTTTCATGGAGGAATTTAATTGATAATTTTATTATAAGAGGCTGAAAATGGGAATATAAGATTGAAACATCGTTTCGTACATGTCGTGGTTATCGAAGTGTTAATGGCTGACGAATTCGTGACTAATTTTTAAACCTGCAAAAGCAAAGTCTGTGTGAAGTATTCGTGTAGTTCGCTAAACAGCTCGATGGCGAACGTGATTTCCAAGCCGCTCTCTTTAGCCCAAAAATAATGATGATGCAGCACGTCGTTGTTCTCGACAGCGTTGCAGAACTCCGCGAAATCCTTGGATTTGAGTATCTGCAAAAATCTGCGAAAACTTCGGGAGTATTTCACTTTTTGTAAGAGAAACTCGTGGAGTTCGTCCAACGGTATACTCTTCAAGATATTGTTGATCATCACGGTCAAGCCGCCTTTCGCGATGCCGGGGTCGTTCCTGACGAACCTGGGCGTCGTCTTCCAGAAACTTCGGACTTTTTCGTGCCAGGAATCGACGTCCAGGCCGTCTTCGCGTAAAGAGAGAATCAACTTGTTAAATTGAGGCATTCGCTGAAACTCCCGCACGATGAATCTCTTCTGATCGTTCACGAAGCTCGCCGTGTCCCCGATCTGAGCATCGTACTTCATATATTTCTCGATGATCTCCTTCACCTCGTTAAACGGCACGAACGCTAGGATATCTTTGAAATCTTCCTCGAGAGAGCTGTCGTCGTTCAAAGATGGCGAGTTCAATGGATCGTTCGATCGGAATCCGATTTTGTAGGCTAGAAATCCGATAAGAGCGACGGAAGCGGTGGCCATCACGCTCGCGATCATGATGTGTGGATTCATTTTCGTCGATTTAGAGCGTTGCTGTACTAGTGCGAAACCATCGTATGATTTTTAGCAGAAACCGGGAATTATTCTTGTACTTGGAATTCAATGTTTGCAATTTGGTTTGTTGCTTTTTAATTGCTGTAAATTAAATAAGTCCAATCGAGTACACTATTTCGTTAACGTTAACAAATTGTACGTCCAATAGTGTTAAAAAAATACCGATGAAACGTTTATCAATGATTTTGTTAATAAAAACTTACTAATGGTGTTTCCTTTAAGATACGTGAAAGAGGGAACTAAGTTTCTTGTCCATCATATGCTTAACGTTTTATGTTTCCTTAAATGAATCCATGAAACAGGTTAGGTGAGAACAAACATTTTTTGCCAGGATATCAGGCAGTATAGTAATGTGTACGAATAATGCGGAACAGTTGCAAAATAGATTTAAAAGTATGTAAGTCAGGAGGATTTGATGTCTTACTATGTATGCTTCATGTCATTTTGTGATTTCTGGGAATGGCATGAAGTGAACGTAATAATCAATGATACATTAACATGGATGATTCACTATGTTCATACACCGCTCGTAACGTAGATACATATTTTGATTGGACCGATTACATATCGTGAATACAATTGTATAGTGTTAGATGTGACAGGTGTTTATCGTTTCCATAATTCAACGTTTCCGGTAGGGTCATTTGATTTCTGCGAATTTTTTGATAATACTGAAGGTAGAAAACGACGTAGAAGAAAGACAATATTTTGACGTATAGTTTGATAGATTACTGTCACATGTCAAATGACACGTTTCAGGTAATATTACGTGATTGATAAGGATTACTATGTCTCGTAAAAGATAAGAATGTATACAGTATTACGTTTTTTATAGTTGATCTTTTTAGTCATCGATAGTTTGATAAGTAGATTGTCCATCGTAAAAAGTACTTACAGTTTGAAATTAATTTAATTAATTAAAAAATGACGAAGCGAGAGGAAATTTTACTAAAATCACTTTGACAACACATTCTTCTATTCTGATACTGAAAATGGTAACGAAGTTATTTTATTATTTATATGTGGAATATTTAAGGTCCGTATTAAGCCGCTATTGTCGAGGCTACAATAACAACATTAATTAGGAACGAATTTATGTCGGTTTACATGGGATTCGGTGCAAACCGGGTTGTTAAAAACGCCATGGAAATTTCAATTACTGCTCGAATCTAGATGCAAATAAAGTTCTAATTATACAGCGAGGAAGTAAATGGAAACGTGCTCGTGTATACGACACAGCAAATCGAAACACTCGTCAACCTGATAGCTGTTTTCGATACCGATAACAACAATATTGAAAGCATTGTAACGAATAATTCCGTGGTGCCCTCTATATACGGCTACCCGAATTAATACATTATCATTAAAAGAATTTACGAATTTCGTTTGACAAATAATGTAAACGTCGCGTCTGCATAATGTCCCTCCATTCAACCGTGCTGATACACAGATTGAATATAAATTTAACGTTTCGTGCTGAACTAAATTGAATTTAACGCTCCTCTCGCCCGTTTAATTATTGTTTCCAGTCGTTTGTCAATCTTCTTTAATGTTAGAAAAACAAAAATCAAACTTACCGACATTAGCTATTTTTGTACATGTAAAATTTACATATGTCCACATATGGGTTTGCATTGAATTTAAAAAGAATATAATTACTAGGTACGTAGTGATAGTAGTATCCAGAAGTTTAAGACACGTGTATCTCGAGATAACATACATTTCATTTTTACGGTATAGATGTCACAACACAGCAATTACATTGTACAGCACTTTTGATACTTAAGTGTAGGTATAGTAGGAAATCAATTATTTTCACAGCTGCGAAGATTACATCGATAAATCGATAAGAATGTTTTCCATCGATTCTGGTAATATCATTTGTTCGTTTTTTGATAACCAACTAACCGACAGTCAATATATCGACGTTAAATTGATTAGAAGTTCAACGAATACCTGTTGAAAACACGACTTCGAAAAAGTAATATAATTTCTTTCATTCCTGACACTCGCTAAAATTAGGTAAATATGCGACATAAAATTGCAAGGAAAATGAAACTAAAAAAACATAAAATGAAATTTAAGCTACGCTCCGTAATCCATTGCCCGAAGGTTACAAGTATGATATAGGGTTTCCTAACTTTCTTTATCACTTTCTTTAGACTTTCATTATGGCTCGTTAAAACTTGTAATCGCAAGGAGTTGATTTTTGCTCGTTACAATCAGGGCTAATCACACTTTCTCCAATTAAGGAAACTTTACCCATCCTTCAATTTCTGCTGTATACTTAGTGTACATCAGAATATTCCTATCTAGCACTATTTCGCTGTAATAGAAAAATGAAATAACCACAAATAAAACGGTAACAAACGGTTAAACCCTTTGGAAGGTACTATATCTCTCAGAGACAGAAAATCGTTGCAAATCTACACAGTTATTCGAAGGCTGATCGATTTCACCCCCGCAAACGGGCGGTTCGTTAACGCGCCGGAAGTTTCGCTGATCAAACGAGAAAGCAAAAGAGCACCGCGTGTGGAAAATGGGCTGCAACGAGGACGGCCATTCGATAAATAAAAGAGCATCGTGTTCGAGCATGTGGCGCTAACTTTTAAAAGGGAACCGGGCTGTCTTAACCGTAGCGTTCTCAGATGCGGGGATGCTTGCGTCTTCGCAAGGCGGAGTAACAAGGGGAAGAAACGAGCAGTTGCACGCTGCTTCTCTAATTAAAATTGGTACAATTTAATAAGCCTCGGTACTCGCTATTGGCGCGTCGTAATGGAAAGTCATAAGAAACGTGCATCCGCTCGAGTATGATGCTGATGAAATCGAGCGAGAAATATTCAAAGCGAAAGATGGTGGAATAAAGGAAATAGGGAAGAAACGTCTTTGAGGAGAAGGCATGAGAGTCTGGAATTTTCTTGGGTACCTATAGGGACTTTGGGTCTTTGGAATATTGGAAGGTTTTAAGTTTGGGTACTTTAGAAACTGGAATTTTTTAATTTTAGGATGTTGGGTACCTTTAGAGACTTTGGGTCTTTAAAAAATTAAAATGTTTGAAGTTTAGGCACTTTGGAAACTGGAATTTTAGAATTTTTGGATCTTGGGTATCTTCAGATACTTTGGGTCTTTGCAAAATTGAAATGTTTGAAGTTTAATCACTTCAGAAACTGGAATTTTAGAATTTTTGGATCTTGGGTATCTTCAAATACTTGGGGTCTTTGCAAAATTGAAATGTTTGAAGTTTAGTCACTTTGGAAACTGAAATTAAAAAATTTTGGAATCTTAGCTATCTTTAGAGACTTTGGGTGTTTAGAATATTGGGACATTTGAAGTTAGGGACTTTAGAAACTGGAATCTTGGGACCTTACTCTTTATAACCTTGATAGTATCATATTGTATTTTATTTTCTAATAAGAGAGGGCGCTTGAGAGGGACTCCTCTCATTTTGCCCAAACCTTGATAGTGAAATTTGAACGTTAGGTTACTTCGGAACTTCGGGACTTCGTTCTTAGGACCTTGAGGATTTGGAACCTTGTAACTAAGGCTTTGTAACGTTGAAGACTTCGAAACTTTATGAAACCTTGAGATCTTGAAACTTCGGGATGTAACTTTGGGACTGTAGAGTTCTTTATAAACAAATCGACATGAAATATATTGAAAGGAAAAGTTTATTTAAAACATTACACATTGAATGAGGGAGTCGTTACAAAATTCCGTAAATCGATATCGAGTTTACAATCCGCTTGGGCGGGGGAGCTTGATGCCGATTTCTTCGAAGATTTTTCTGGCGATGTCAAGGTCCAAACCGTTTTCCATAGCCTTCTTTCTCATTTCTAGGAAGATGGGTTCTTTGTAGATGAGGTCAACGATCTCCTGGAATTCCTGGGAGTCGAGTTTCTCGACGAAGCTCTTGAAGACTGGGGAGGTTTGCATCTTTTCTTTGTACAGAGCCCTGAATTTGTCGAAGGGGAGTGCAGCGATCACATCGTCGACCATACCCTTGACACCACCGCGGTTAGCGTAGGCGCGGAAGCCGGTTGGTGGAACGAAGTCCTCCATGCCGAAGAGTTTGTGCACTTTCTGGAGAAGGCCATAGATGTCCAGACCAGCGTCGTGAAGGTAGATGATCAGATTCTGGTAAGCTTTCAAGGCTTCGACCTTGCGGACCAGAACGTGGAATTCTTCGCTGCGCATGTACTTAAGGGCTTCAACAACCTGGTCGTCATCCAAGTATCCGGAGATGATGGTGATGATCTTGTCCATGTCGATCAAGTCGATGAAGTCGTGGATGTCCTTGGACAGTTCGTTCCCGGCGTAGGGAACATGGTGGCAGTTGACGGTTGCGAAGGCAACCACGGCGGAGAGTGCTACCAGGGTGAATTTCATCTGCGAATCATCGATCAGAGTTTAGTTTAGATCGACTTAGTGCAACGTTTATGTTGCTATCTTCAAATTGTTACACGTTACATAGTAACGTTGTGTTGCCACATATTTACATGTTGCGAAGGAAACATTGAAAATTTATGAATTTGAGAATTTGAAAGTTTGTGAAAGTACACATTTCTAGGAAATGTCTTAGCACGTTGTTAAAGTTCAGAGAAATTTTGCAATTAATAATTTTGAAGAATAGTAAGGAATTTAAAGTTGCTTACCTTGTTTGCTGTAGGAGATTGAAGCTGCTACTGATTGAACTCTGTTTCTGTTGCTTTATTTATACCCCGAAAAACCGCGGATATTGACAGTAAATTGGCTGAGGGGGATGATAAGATTGCGCGTGGACACCTGGTTCTGAACACCTGTGGATATTAATCAGCGTTGTGTTGTTAGAAACGATAATCAATGCTTTTGAAATTCTGGAATATCTAATGCGAATAATTTGTAATTATGTCTTTATCAAGATGATCATGGCGAATCGGCAATTTTTTTCAGATGCATTAATTAAATTATAAATTTATTTGATAATGAGTGCTCATTGCGGAAATTTCTAAAGTGGTCGTTAAAAATTTTGATGCATTGTCGCGGAATGTTCTACATTTTCACAGTTAATAATTATTAACTGTGAAACGCAAGTACGGTGTTCTGATTTAAATCGTTATAGTTCTCGATTGTCTTTTTCAGTAGAAATATTTTTTGTTCGAAACAAACGGGAATTTATATTTAACGTTCATGATTGAGACAATGCAATTTCGAACAAAAGCTAATTTGTATTTGTGATGTGTGAAGCATTGCAGTGATCATTAAATGTTATATGAAATATATGAAATATTCATAAGATGAAAAAAGGCAGAACGAACCCTCAACGAATACCTCAACTTGATTGCTTGCAACATTGTAAATTGATAACTAGTGTTTTTTATTTTGCATTATCGAACAGAAAGGTAAAACATCGCCGATTAGTTGTATATTTTTTAACTGTATCATTGATTATGTTCAATACCTTAATCTCTTTTAATATGAAGTGAATTAGTCGTGTTTGATTATAGATATTGAAATATCTTCAATACATAATAGTTTAAGATAGTAAAAATTATACTGAATTTAAAGGCAGTAAAATGACATTATATAATATTATGATGTAAGATGCTTTTTTTGTTAATTGTTTTTTATGTACTTAATTGAATGTTTACAAATACATTCATACATTATGTAGTCATTATGTTTTTATCTGTATTGTTTCTCTTCAATGAGTACATATCAAAGGTGACAAAAACTCAAGATATTAATCATCAGTTTAATCTACTAGATTAGAATAATAATAAACAGCAGATTTCCTAATAATTTTATCGAGCCTACTGTAAATAGCAGCAATTCGATTTTAATTATAGAACAGTAGTTCTTTCAATGTCATAGAAGGTGAATTGTTATTTTATATATATATATATATAAAATATATATATTCTTTCTGTTGTCTTTCAAAGTTCATAGATCACATTAGGAAAAATTTGAATTGGTAAATTATAATTTGTTACATAAAACTTTATTCTCTGCTAGACTTTCATCCTTCACTTCTATATATTAAGATTTATATCTTTGGAATGTTTTCAATAGAGTGCATGTAAATAATAATTTGCAATGTTATTAATTTATTTCTTAAAGGTTTTACTTTGATAATAAATAACTCATTACGCATGTTTTTAATGCATGCATTTATTATAAGGATTGCGAGACAGAACAAAAGAAAATAAAACAATACATAATATCTAGTGTACATATTTACATTGCAGGTGTCACTTAGATATACAAAGATAAAGTAGATTGTTTCGATACATATAATTAATTATTACATTTACCCTCTGACATGCAATCATAATTAACGTTAGGAACTACTCCTCAAAGATAGAAACCTTAAGATATAATATAAAATACATAAACGTGTCTCAATTGTTTTATAGTATTGTCTTATCTACTGCTAAAATATTGTTTAATAATTGTTTAATAATTTAATAATTTACTATAATTGAAAAGACAATAAATACCAATTGGTGCAACTTAGTAATCATTTAATAGTTTCTTACATATTGTTTTCCAAGTTGTACAAGTTGCAATATGAAAGTGCATAACAAAGTATAATATTTCTATTAACGAAACGAAAGTGAAGGTTAAAAAAGTATTAAACCATGTGTTTTAATTTGACTTATTTATTTTGTACGACTTATACAATTCTATTACTATCAGTGAAATAGTAGAGGTTCGAAAATGGTAGACCTGGTGCTATAATTAAACTTGTTTATTGCATACAATTCACTCGGAACTAATCAATAACATTGCTATCAGTGAAATGAAATTAAAGTTTAAAAAAGTTGATGAACCAATTTGACTTATTGCATAGAATTTCAGTTAGATATTCAAATTTCAATACAACCAATTCTATTACAATCAGTGAAATGAGGGTAGTGGTCAGAAGATGGTGCCGCAATTTGACTTAATAATCGCAATCTATAATACTATTATCTATGAAATGTAGGTATGGATATAGAGGGTAAACCATAGCAAAAAGAATTATCTAAATAACATATTTATTTCATAAAATTCTATCGAAACAACTCAAAACAATCAGCAAGATACACATATGTCCCTTCATGGTCTGCAGTTAATTTTGACGCCCAATCCGCTCTCGATTACAACGATCACACCTTCAACGTTTACTTGGGCTTCCTTGGCTTTGTGCAACAGGTCTTTGAAGGTTGCGTTAGCGCACAGTTTATCGGCAACATTCTGGAATTCGGGCGACTTTAATTTGGCGACGAAATCGGCCCACACTTTGGACGAGGCCATCTTCTGTTGGTGCAGCGCCTTGACCTTCTCCATGGGTATGAGAGCCTCGATCTCGTCGAGCATTCCGCGGATTCCACCGGCGGCTCTCAACATTTCAGTGTTGGTTGGTGTCAATTGTTTCAGACCCAGGTACTTGTTAACCTTGTTCACCAAGTAGTAGATATCAAGACCAGCGCTTTGCATGTAGTTCATCAGGCTCTGGACCTCGGGCATGGCCTCGATCTCGCTGACCAGCTGGACGAAGATCGGGGTGTGCACGTAGTTGATCAGACTCTGGACTTCTTTGTCGTTGGCGATGTAATCGAAGAGAATTGTAACGATTTTGTCCGTTGGGATGAGGTTGACGAAATCTTGGACGTCGTCAGCCAGGGCACCGGATCCGGTGCGGGGCACGTTGTAAGCCTGCATGGGGCTGACACAAGCCATAACGGCTACGAGGGCGAGAGCGAATTTCATCTGCGAATAGAAAAGACGAATAAAGATTTCGTAGAAAATCCGATCGGTAATTTATTATCTACCATAAGTTCTACTTGTGAGATTAAATATTTATTAGAAGCTACGATCAAAGAGTTAGAAACTAGTTTGAAAAATAATGAGTTGAATTGTACAGAAAAAATATTTGAACTGTTGGATCAAGATTCAACCTCAACTGTAGTTATATTATTAACCAATAATTTAAATAAGCCACAATTATTTTATGAGAGAAATGTCTTCTTTGTTCTACTCACCATGTTGCTTTTGCTAGTGGAGATCACTGAATGCGTGCCACTGAACCGTGCCGGACCCTTTAAATACTCATTTTTTTACATAAGTCACTGATAAGATTCGATCTCGATCAACATGCAAATAACACGATGGAGAACGAAATTATTCGATAACGATTTTCGGTAAGCTGAAGCTTAATGGTTGTCAAAGATTATAAACACTGATATTCTCATCTAAATACCTCGCGCGATCTGTTTTGGCGATGATTTAATCAAATATTGTCCCCCTTTTCTTTGGCATAAGTAATAAACATATTACATTAGCGGAGAAGAAACGTATTCCATTTATTTTGCAATCCTGTATGTAGAGATTCCTATTTTTCTACATTTCTAGATCTCTGTATTCATAAATTCCCATATTGGTATTTCCCTGTGGTTCCAGGTACCTGTACGCCTAGATCTCTACGTTCCAGATACCTTGCTACATGAGATATTTATATTTTGAGAGTCTGTACTCTTGTAGATCTCTGTATCTTTATATTTTCATGTGTACAGATCTCTGCATTTTTGAATTTATATAATTCAGTATATCTGTATCCCTAATTTTCATAAACTAATCGCGATAACTCGCTACCAACATCGATAAAGACTTCTCGATTTTTCTATCAATATCAACTTTCCTGCTGCGTGTACAGTAGTTTATCGTCTAATTCCTTTATCAAAATAGACAATCCCTCTGTCAATCATCCAGCGTTTTAATTACAACGTAAGTTTCCTATACACGATAATAACATAGTATCTGAGCAGATAGCGTAAGGTACTTGACGGTAATGGGTCTGAAAGGCATCGTAATTGTTCTTCGAAGGGACAACAATTGCTTCTTCGGCGTTCAGCTTGTTCAAAATTGTTTTCCGCCGGTAGCCAGGCAAACTTTTGCTCGATATTATGGCGGCACATGGTGGTAACAGCCCGCCTTTTGGGCTCGTCGTTGTCGGCGTAACGACCTTGAGGATTTTCCCGACGAAACAAGAAGCAACTAGGAAAATGTGTTCGCAGTTAAGGGTCAACTCGTCTCTGATTAGAGGAAACTTTCTACAGATGGGCAGCAAGTTGTTTCGAACGATAAGATTGAGTAGATCTATCTTGATTATTTGCTTACATGTTGCCGAAATCGTAGTGGTCAGATAACGGATCTATTTGAATGCGTTATTTGATCAACCTCGATGATAAGCGATAAAATTCAAGGCGATTCTTAATCGTAGATAATCATCGATATTCGATCCGAATTTAAAAAATTTACACTCTCCGGTTCTCTGTTCTCTATAATAAACGTTTATTTTCAGAGATCCACAATGTAGAAATTAACACGGTAAAAACTTTCTGGATTACCCGAAATATTCAATTTGGAGCAACAAGATAACGGGTTTGTTCTAACGGATGTAATTTATCCGAAAAAGGATCAAACGCGACAATTGGAAATCCCTTTGGTTTGATGGAGGAAAAAGGAGGTCGGAAAAATCGGGTCGACGAAGAAGGTTGAAGGGACAAAATGTCCGTGGCTGTTCTTTCAGCGTTTAGGGAGAAGATGTAGCTGGCTTTCAGGAGAATCGAAAACGAAGAAGGAGTCGAGGACGATTCCGTGGGATCGATGAAGGGAACAGGACGGAAAAGGTGACCGTAACAAATCCTCGGCGAGTAATCGAGGTCGTGCCTCGGCTAGGTTTTACTCCGGAACACTTAACTCTATTGCGATTGGATTCTCCGGCTGTTCCTTTTTTCACGGGATCCGTTGTCCACGTGGCGGGATAAGTGGCTGAATCCTTGCTTGCGAAAATTTGATTGGCAACAATACGACGAAGGAGAAATGAACTTTGATTCGACGAGAACGAGGGTCATTTCGAGTTTAGCATAATACTATTAATTCGGGATTTTTGATCGATAGGATTTGTTTGTCGTTTTGACAAATTTAATTTCTTCTGTTTACTTGTTTACTGAAAGTATTCTTCAAAGACAGATATTTGTGTTCCATAGGTCAATCGTGCGAGGTGAGAACTTGATAATATATCGAACCGTGTGTCATTTTGACTTGATACGATAATGAATACCTGTTACAGGAATATCTGTAACCTAGACGAATTTAGACATCTCGTTCTATATGTGCACATAATCTGCATTTAATCGATCACGCTGACAGCATAATCCCATTAAAAATATGTCATGACAATATCGATATTTTACTGACATTAATAAATTCATGTATTCGTGAGTCTGTTTTTGATTCATGAAGTTTTATTTGTTGTATTACATAAATGTTGTTTTACGAATAATCCGCGAAACGTATCAAAATGTTAATTTTAATATTAAGGGATCAAAATTTTCAACGCGCCCTTCTGGCAAGCCAATCAACGATTATAGAGATCGATAATAATTTTGCGAGCTCCTCGATCCACTCTGAAACAGGTTCCCGAGGGTCAGGATGACTTGCAGCAAGATTTCTCGGCCGATACAACGGCTCGCGTTAACTCGAGCGAACACGAAAGAGACGAGCATGGGTAAACGCAAAGCGGGGTTAGCAACCCCGAGAGAGCAAGAGAGAGAGAGAGGCAGAGTGCAGGGGCTCGCTTGTATTTCAATGTCGGGACATCCGGTTGGGCCGACGAGTGATGTGGTCTGCTACCCTCGTGCATCCGGCCGTCACCAAACAGCACGGCCCGTGCACTCGTTCGCGTTCTGTGTTTGCTCGGCTCCAACTTTCCACGACGCCATGCTGCACGAGGACTCTGACTGTCATCGAGCGACCGACTGCCTAATGCACCATTCCTCTGCTCCACACTCTCTATAAACCGCATCCTTTTACCTTTGACTGGTTGCGACCCTCGCATTTTCGTCCTTTCGAATTGATGGAACACCCCGATCAGCGACATGAAAATGATATTAAGTTACTCGAAACATTCTTTCAGCTACTCTCTGTCGCATAGAAATCATCTATTATTTCTCACAACACTTTTTGCAGAGCATCTTTCGACAACCGGCATGGTATCCATGATCGTGCAAAGAAGCTTTCTGAGGTGATGAAATGTGATTACATAAACCGTGTTGATTGCAAAGATCTCGAATCGATATTTCAATCGAGCCTTCCGTATCTGGCGATCTGCAAACGAGATACAAAACGTTAAAAAACAATTTTGCCGAATTGACGTTGTATCGTGTGAAAACGCAGCTCGATAACATCTAGATTATTGATGCGTTCGTCTTTGCACGGTACGCGTGAGCATGTACGTTCGGTCCCCGATAACGAGCAAACTTTTGGCCCCCGGCCACTCGAGCAAAGTAATTATGCTCGTATTCCTCGTCGAGTTACATTAATTAACGACGACTGCGAGACCGACGGAAGCTGCAGCTCGCTGTGAGGCCCTTTGCTGGGCGCTGATCACCGGAAACGCAAGGTAAACGATGGAAGGCTAATTTATATTGTCTCGTGTCTTGTCCGATGTTTGAGACGTAACAGATTTGCAGTAACGTTCCTACTTATTTTTGCGGTTTCGAAAGGAAACTGTGGAGTCCCATACGGCGCTGCAGAGGAAAGTACGAGGTACTTATAGGAGTACAGTATAAGAAATTTCAGCATATAAGTTTAAACTACGTTTCAAAATTTGAAGATTCCCGAATTTAAATATTTTAAGGTTAAGATATTTGTAGGTAAATTGTTGAATCCCGAATGCGAAGATTTACGTATTTCGTTTGAAAGCTTCGTGGGACGCATCAAAGGTAATGTATCGGTTTCGGTACACCATCTCGAAGGTAATAAAGCGTAAACGTGGAACGCGAGCTTTTCCGAACTTAACGCGACGTCTGGCGCGGTCTGACGTAACATATATAACAGGTGCAACGTTCTTTCGACGAGACGGTCGACAGGATCCCTTGGGTCAGCAACGAAATCACATTTTACCTCGATACAGCCGGTTCTACGGGAGCAATTTTCTCGAGAGCAAACAAGCCGACCTTCTCGCATGCATTAAAGTTTGAACGGGCTAGCAAGAAGCCGGTGCACGTTGCTTCCTGTATACGACGGCCGAAAGTCCTTCGGCTTCTTTGACGACGAAATGAAATTTCGATCGATACAACGCCAGCCACCTGCTTCGCACCCCGATCCTTCGATACGCGCTTTCTTCTCGCCGTCACAATTCGGATACCGTTGTTTCTCGCTTTTCGCTTCTTTACATTTCGTTTCCGTTGCGAACGCTTTGTGCCGAGAAATGTCGCGTTCTTTTCACCTGCTGTTTGAAACATGGATGCAGAGAGGATGCTGCTGGGATAAGTCACCTAATCTTCATTCTTAATGCAGAGTGTCAAATGGAAAGTTCAAATTGAAAAATGAAATTAATTTATATTAAGAACGCAAACATACATAGCTTAGTACAGTATCAATAATATTTGAAAATTTGTTTTTGCAGATCAAGTACAGACAAGTAAATAAAGAAATTAGCACTGTTGCTGTTGGTAGTACGCATTCCCCAATTAAACGTCGACGAAGGTGCACTATAATTTTCATTCGAGCGAGTCTCGTATATCTTTACAGTAACCCCAGGAGGTTCTGACCAGTCCTTTTGCGCGAGCATTGTTTCGGGCAGCGCAGTTTATCTGCATGGAACCACATGTTATTGTTGTGTACTTTGCCAGTGCTCATTCGTATCTCGTGATATAATAACTAGTTGCGACAATGCTTTAATCCAAGGACTGGTCCACGGCACA